ACGTGATGGATGCTCCTCTTCCCAGCATCCAAATTGGCATGAGGAAACAAAGAGATGAACATAGGAGAAACAGGCTAAAAATGTGTGCTTTCAGGAAGAGAGCAGAAAACTTCACTGCAATGCCTCTTTCTCATCTGTGCTCCCTGCCACACGACTGACTCATCGATATCCTCCTCTCTATGACAACCCTGAGAAAAACAAGTCGTTTGCAGAGCAAGAAGGGTTACTTAGACATGAATGCCAGGTGGCTTTCAGAAGTGGCTCTGGTGTGTTATAGAGCTGCTGGGATTTTTAGGAAAAGCAGTGACCTGGCATACCCTGGCTCTCTTTAGTGGCCTATGGGAGAAATTATTGCTGGTTTCTTCAATGGAATGAAGCAAAAGCACACCCTAAAGATGCTTGCAACAAAGATGGTATGCTTCAGGTTAAGCAGCACTGTCCTTTGCTTTTCAACTTTGGTGCCCTGGGTTAAAGCAGTGCCATGAGCCCTAACAGGTGGCTGCTTCGTACCAACCGTAAATAATTTAAATGACAAAGTCAGATCTGTCTCTTGGTCCTGTATTATTCATGAATGAATGGGCCTGTTTGTTATGACTACGTTCCCTACTCAGTGCAGTCTGCGTTGCATCTCAGCCCTCGAGTTCTCTTCAGTCTCACCTGGCTGGTTGCCATCCTTTCGTTGCTGTTTTCTGCTCTGCAAAACGTATTACCTCGATTGTATTACTCCTGTTCTCTTCCCAAGGGACAGAAACTCCTATACACAGCAGAGAGATCTCTGCGTGGCTACGTAAGCCTTTTTGGAGCTTCACTCTAATGCATATTTCTGAGAATTTCCCTTTGCACAATTGTTCTTGCAAACAAATAGATGAACATTCATGGCAAAGGTCAGAAACATCACTGAGCAAAACATGCGAGCATCATTCATCTTAATCTTCACAAACACTTCACTGCAGTTTGCTCGTTTTGATGTCTACAGCAGGGTCTGGGTGCATGGGGTCAGCTCCTCGGTGCCTTCTGTGCTGCCAGTTTGCTCTGAGCACCTCAAATCCCACGCATTTTGTTGTGGATGCAGAGAACAAAGCTGCAGTTTTTCAGCCTCTTGCTGAATTTTGGTTTGGGCATTCTTGAGAAGGCTTGGTGAGCCTTGCAACCCAACCACAGTGAACTGACAAACAGGTTTCACGTCTGTGTCCTTTATGGGCTGCTTGCCACTGTTTCCTTGGGCCTCCACTCTTCATCCATCAAATGGGCACAGTAATGCCTTCTTTCTATTATTCACCTGTCCTATCAGCTCACCTGCCAATGCTACAAGCCACAACTACAACCTCTTGCTGCACCTTTATACCTACCCCACAAATAACCCTCCTCACAAAAAGCCAAATAAACACATAACGTTGATGAGACAGCCATGAGGACACTGAAACGTGAGCTCAGCCTTCAGTATGACCCTACTGAAGTATTGTGTACAGGGGAATGCTTCATCCTGCATCTCACCCAGTGTGCTCATACGCAGCTGATTTTCTGCCCCAGCAGTTCCCACCAAAATCTGACAGTTTGTGTTCATCCCCTATGGATAGGAAGGTGTATAAGAATAACTTTTCTGCTTCGTTCCCTAAAAATAAGCTGATAGAAATTAGGGAGAAATTAGAGATAATTTTATTTATTTCTTCTTCAGTGAATGAGTGGTCACAGAGCTGAAAAAGCTGAAATCCAAGCAAAAAAACTGGCTGAGCATGTTTTCATGCCCTCCATGTCTTAAAATGGATTAATTTGCTAGGAAGATCATTTTGGATAAAAAGGGTCATGGGTTATTTACAAGCATTATTTCTCTAGCTAACACTGCCCAAAACTGCAAGGAAAAGGAGTTTATTGTCCTTCCATTTATTTCTGTATTCAGAGAAGCTCCTGCTTATCAGATATATTTTTAAATACAGAATTCCTTTAAAAGATAAAGGACATATCAAACCCTCCCAGGAGATGATAAGATTTCTGGTCTAATTAAGAAAGGATTTGGAGCACTGCAGCATCCTCAACTGCCTTCAGAGGAAGCTGTGGGCACACAGCCCCTTTGGAAATTCAATCTGCACTTCCTTCACAGCATTGGACTAAGGAATTTGGGTTTGCAAGGTTTGTTGAGTATCTGGCAGCACCAGTATTTGGGGCTCGCATTCCCTGAGACTCAGAATCAGGTCTGGACCAAGGTTGGGGGGCTTTGGTGGTGCAGTGCACAATAGTGCTTCAAAGTCAGGTGGATGAGCAGAGCTTCGTGGTGCTTCAGGGCTGGAGGAGAAAGGAGATCCACAGGCACAGTGAGAGTGTCAGCATTAGCAGGAATAGCCAGAGGATGCATGTTAGGACTGAAGAGCATCTGCAAGCCCCACCGAGTGGGTGAGTTTGTACAGACCTTTATGTATTCCAGGCTGTGCTATTTCTCTCTTCATAAACAGCTTCTGAGCAGCAAACTCAGCAGGCATGTGTGTTTGCCCAAGGCAAACACGGCTCTGCTGTCATCACTAAGGACTACCTGCCTGGTTCACACCCAGCCACATCCTCACCAAACCACTGAGGTTTCTGTTTGAGGCCTTGTGATGCGCCCATGGATTCATTGCAGGAAATCAGAATCCATCACTGTATGCCAACAGCTTGCGCTTTCTGCTGCTGCTCTGTTAACCAGATTAAGTTCCCCTGCTACCTTATTTATTTTGCACTCATTAAAGCCAAATTTACAAAACTGTGAAGGCAGCTCTGCTGTCCTCTGGGAAAGGTAGTGGGGGAGTCCTTGCTGCAACAAGCTGTGAGGAGGCAGAAATAGCATCTGGACAATCTCTCCTTCGAGACAGATGTGTTGCTGAGATGGAGATGGAAACTTGCTCTCAGTTTCTTTCTGCATTGGATGCTGGCTGAACTCACGCATCTAAAGAAATGTGTGCAAATCGTGATGGATGCATGCAAAGAAGGGCTTGTCCAACCCAAGTCGCAGTCATGCAGTAGTGCAAGCCATGACGCTGCACTGCCTGGGTCTGTGGAGTGAGTAGCTGGTGGGTGAAGGATGAGTTTGGATTGGATACTAGGAAAAATTTCTTCTCAGGAAGAGTGGTGGTGCACTGGCACAGCTGCCCAGGGAGGTGGTGGAGTCACCATCCCTGGAGGTGTTCAAGAACAGTGGAGATGTGGCACTGAGGTGTCCCATGCCCCATGGTTCGGTGGACATGCTGGGGGTGCTCACACAGCAGTGCAGGGAGTGACTTTTCAGAGCAAAAATGACGTGTGTGACCATCATGGGAAGAGGTAGCAAGGAGGTCTGTCGGCACTTGATTAATGGAGTATTTCTCAGCAGGCAGCTTTGAGCACAGCTTTCTGCCAGGGATGTTGGCAGTGCCAAGAACGAGACATGGGATCAGCACCTCTTTCAGCTGAGAAATACAAATCCAGGAACAAACACAGCCGGCTTCTCTGATAACTTCCAAGGGAATTTGCACTTATCAGTACCACTTGCTAGGCAGAAAAAATACTGCTGGCTGACCACTGCCTTACACCTACATTTTAATGATACTTTCTAGTGCATTCCATGGCAGGGAGGCTTGTATGGACTCTTTTGCTGAGCTTGCTCCTGAAATTTCCCTGGCTCAGGAGCTGGGTGATCACAAGACAGGCATCTCTGGCGGGGGGCTTGAAGCAGCACCACCAGACCATCTGGTTTTGATCTGCAAGTTGCCTGGAGCCTTTAGGCAGCCCCGAGGTTTCTCTCTGTGCGCCCAATTTTGTCCTGGTTCATTTGCACTCAGTTGGCACCAGACTGAGATGGGTTGTGAGCGCCAATGTAATTCCTTTGGAAAGCAAAAGCTGCTTTGGCTTTCAGGCAGAGAGCGATTTTATTTCTAGAAAATAGAGCTATAAACCCAGCTTGTGCCAAACAAACACTATGCAGTGTCGGCATTAAGCTGGGGAGTGGGAGTTATTTCAGAAAGAGAGTGATATTTGTCATTCACCTGTCTGAGCAATGGGAAATGCTCTTTTCTTTATACCCTGTGTGCTTAATTTTCATCCTGGCCTCACTTCTTGCTCAGGTGAATTCCTGTCTCGAGCCTGCAGAGCTCAGTAGAAAAAAAATTTCCTTTTCAGAGCAGCACATGGGTCTGCAGCAGCAAAGAGCCATTGGCAAATTTGCCTAACTACAGGCAAATACATGAACAAGAGTATTTCGTCCCCTCAGCAGGGCACATATTGCAAGAAGGATAAAAAGATTAAAAAAATCGTGTCTTCAACTGTCCATCTACCTGACAGGCACCCAGACAGGCACATCAGAAACCCACTGGATAAAAAAGGCAAAGCATGAGTAGCAGGCTGCTAAATTACATCAAGTGCAGCCACCAATTGCAGGCACAAAGGAAGGAAAGACAGCTTAAAAAAAAAATGTACAGTGTAAGTATCCATTTCTAGACCAGAACTTGTGATGCTTGCAAACAGATATATCATTTGTGTCCAAAAGAGATGAACTATTTATTTAGTATGAAGATTGCCCCCAGCAATTGAGAATCGAAGGTTATCTAATGTCTTTGCCATAGGCTGCAAGTGTCTGGACAGTTAGCATATGCAGGCGAATTACTCACAGATAAGCATCCAGTAATTTATACAGCGCATTCCAGATAGAAACCTCTTCCGTATCAATTTCTGCCTGTTCTACAAACTGCTCCCATTCATCAAGTGGGATAAATGCACAGGCGAGCGATGAGGGTGTGCTGTGATCGGTGTGTACTTTATCAGTTAATATTCACTGAGGTCCCTTTGACATGATTGGAGTAAATCTTTCTCTCCTTTTCTTTGGTTCTGACCAGTCTATAATCTTCCAGTCTGAAAACCATTTCCACGAATGAAGAGTATTACCAAGAAATAGGGTAAAAAATAATACGTAGGGAGAAGGCATTTCATCTCACTTTGGAAGTAATGAGACAGTTTAGTATGATATGTCATTTAAAATCAGGTTTTTCTTTTTCATAGGTTCAGTATCCCTGAAGAAGTGACTGACAGACGAGTACATGGCTTATATTTATCTTAGGAAAAATATTGAGGTTGGCGCAAGCAGGGAGACAGCAGAGTCACAGTGATCCTCAGGAAGGCAAAAGGGCAAGGCTCTGTGCATCGGGTGAATGACAGACCTGAAGTTAAGCAAACCAAGTTAGAAGTCTCAAAACCATTGTCTCGTGGTCTGGGAGGTGCTCTGATGCCAACATGCTTTGGGTAAGACCTGAAAGAGCTTCCACAACTGGCCCAGGAGGCAGCAGGGGCAACGCATCCCTAGCAGTGTTTGAGGGAATACTTTTCAAGACTGAGAGTCTGCTGAGAAACACAGATCCTGGTAGCTTTGTTTTGTACAGACCGCCGGTAGCCCACCCCAAGCTATCCAAAATGAATGCACAGCTGTTCCCTCAAAGCAGACAGATGCTCTGTGCCTTCTGAGGGTGAGGACTTCAGAACGCATTGCAAATGGAAACGGCCCTTTTCTTGTGTAACGAAGGTGTATCGCTGCCATCCCAGGCGTGGGAGATGCTGCCACATGGCTCTTAAAGGAAGAAAAAAAAAGAGAGAGAGGCACATAATGAGGGCTGGCATGCATGTACTTAAGGCCATCTGCTAATGTGATCTGTTGCCAGTTTGTAGAGCTAGGAACCCATCTCTGCAGGTCATGAATGCCAAGATGAGATGGGCTTTCAATAGGCACTTCCATGTGCTAATGGCTGCTGTTTATCAGAAAAATCTTCCAAGCAATGAAAGCTATTGAAGGAGCACTGTGATGCTTCTTGGGATCAGCAACCACATCCGCTGCTAGCAGTGGTGGAGGGTTATTTCCATTCCCTCAGCCCTGTAGGGCAGCCCAAAGCAGGATCCTTCCCTCCCCTGCTTATCTCTGAGCTCTACCTAACCTCAGAGGACAGATAAATAAGGAGCATTGAACCACGGTTACAGCTACTGGAAGCCTTAAAAACCAGTATATTGTTGGTAAAAAGAGCCCTGAGAAAATCAGATTTACTTCCTAATCAGTGCCTGGCAATGTCATCATCATACATTTGCATAAGCAGGATGTTTTATGCATTGTTTTTCTTTGAGCAGGTACCTCTTCATTCGTGTGCACTTGCTGATGTGTTCTCTTAACCTGCCACAGGCTTCCCCAAAGCAAGTAGCTGTGAATGCTTCTCAGATAATAATTAGGAGTATTCACCCTCTCCACATCCTTTTTGCAACAAAGACTTGAAAAATGCAACCTGATTATTATTATTATTTTCTCTCTTTTCTCCCTTGTTCAGGTACTGGCTGCATGGAAGGCAGATGCCTTTTATCCAAAAAAAAAAGGAGTGTTCTCCATAGGAAATGTTTGTGTACATACTGCAACACCAATTTCAGAAAATAGATTACCTCTGAGGAAACCATCTGTTTCTGCATCCCGTGAACTTTCAGGTTAGTTCTTGTCTTTTGTAAGACATTTATTCAAATGGCTGTGATTTCTCCCTCTCACCTGTCTGCTTGTCATCAAAAATATTCTGAAGGTTCAGTACCTTGATTCAGATATAATTTAAGAAAAGAAAAAACCTCAAAAAAGTTCCTATTGCACTTTAAGATGGGTGAACGCAAATGAATGGAAACTGGATGGGAATGGTGAGCACTGATCTTGTGCCTCATTTACTCATTGGTGACCCTGCCTGCATCAGGGGGTTGGAACTAGAGGTCCCTGCCAATCTAAGCCATTCTATGATTCTTTGATAATATGAGGTTTTTTTTACATTATTTGACAACAAACCAACATTCCCAGTCCCAAATCACAAATTATGAGAAGAAATTGGTTTGCGTAGTCAAATCTGTAGCTTCCCAATGAGATATTGAAGTTTTGGGTAGGCTGGCCACCCCCCACTGCATGACTGCAGGCTTCTTCTTGGAAGAAGTCACTCTGAGGAAATGTGTCAGTTCTCCTTACAGCCCACATTGAGTCTCAGAAAGTTCCTTTGCTCCGATTACATTTTCTTCCATTTACTTGCCCTCTTCTAGTCACATCAGAATCACTCAGTCTTTACTTAAAATCCAAGCGGACACAAAATGGACCAATGCCAAAAAAGCACTCTTCATATCCCAAGTCTATCTAATTAGTAGCTTTCCCAACTTTACACAACATATATTCTGCAGTAAAATACTGAGGTTTTAGAGAGCATGTGCCAAAAATACAGTTGTCACAAAAACAGACAGAAATCACTGTTAATTTCAACACCTTTAAACATGTTTATTTTTGGAGTCATTAGTTGATGCGAGGGACGTGATAATGGGCTACAAATCTTTTCACCCCTGGATAATGGGTTACAACATGGTTTGGAAAATTAGTAACTAAAGTAATTAACATCCACTCTCTGTTCAGTAGAATGAGTGGAAATAAGATTAGTCTGTCTGTCCGACACCAAACCAACCACTGTCTGCATTACCAAAGCCACCAGCACAATTAGCGCTAATGGACATCTCCTCCTGAAAAGACACATCATGTCACGTAGACAGCAATTTTCCCCGTAGGAAAGTTATTTAATGGATAGATTTTCATCCTGAAATCTAATTGGGTGCCCTTGCGCGGGAAGAATGGCTCAAGGTGATGTTCTGTAGTGCGAGGACTGAACTGGGATGAGTAACTCAGTGGGTGTGGTATCGCAATAAGTCCTGCTCTGGGATTGCTTGATATCCTCAGCACTGTATTTGATGTATGGGAATATCAAAATAAAGATGTTTTCTAAAACAGAAGTAAATAAATAAATAAAGCCATAGCAGCTCCATTCAGAGCTGGGCTCTCCAGGAAGGTTGTTCTGCTCTGGCGAGCAGCTTGAGAGCCGCATCGGCGTTAATCTTTTGACTTTAGAGTTTTGCCCTTCCCAGGAAAAAGAGAGGAGGTTTTGTTATCCCGGTGAGATCCTACTGAGCCCAAAGTAGCATAAAACCTGCTTGCATTGTAAACACAGCCCAGCACAATCTGGGTGCCCTTGGGAGAAGCCGCCAGCCCCGCTCACCGTCGGCCCTTTGTGCTGGGGAGGTTTTAATGCAGCTTTGGGCAGGGCAAGGATTTTTGTCACTGCTATTAAGCACAGCCAATCCGTGTGCTCCCGAGCGTCCCCGTAGGCTGCAAACATGCCTCGTAACCAATCAGATAGCTAAGCTTACACTTTCACTTAGGGGAAGCTTTGTTCTCCATCACTATATTGATGCAGAAGGGAAGGAGGGAGGCTTTCTCTTCCCATTCAGCAGCAGATGACAGGAGAGGTAAAATTGAACATCAGACCCTTGTCCATGGCAATAAGAAGTGATGCTCAGTGGCCCCTCCATGTCCCAGTGGAGAACTGCTGCCACTAAGAGTCTCACAGAGGTTTGTCTCCACTTGAATCAAGAGCTTTGCTGTGCAGGATGGATTTTGTAAGAGCCCTGCTGCTGTTGCTGCAGTGGCTGTGACAAAGCAGGGGTGTTGATTTTCTCACTATGCAGATACATACATCCCACGTCTACTTCTCCATTCCCCAAACTGTCCCTTTATTCTTTTCAACATTGTACCATTTCTTTGGTATAAACTCTGCTCTATTCCTCTGACATCTCCTGCTCAGTGCATGCTACGGCGTTTTTCTCTTTATTTACCTGTCCATTCCATTTAGCAGAATATTTCCATGTTACAAGAAAAAATGAGTTCTTAACTTGAATTAATTAATTGAAATTAGCCAATGTTAGTTTTAATTCAAACAGGATTTTCTATTTCCTGGTTTCTTTTCTTCCTTACTGCTCTCTTATCTCTTACTTCTCTGTTTTTAGTAAAGCAGGTCCTGGCTTTTTTGCTTCTTGGCACAACTTTCCTTCTGTTTAGAGGAAATCCCCTTTTCCTGCCTGTCGAGTCCCACTCCCTTCTGCAGACCGTTTTCCTGGAAACATTCTTTGTTTAGTTTGTTCTGCATTCACTTTGCATTTCTCATCCTAATTTCTGTCTTCCTCCCTACGGACATCTCATTTGCAGAGGGATGCTCCTTGGAGGTTTGCACTGTCAGCTTATGCCAGGTTTGGTGTGATCCAGCAGGCTCCATCCAGGGCGTGCTTGAATGACTCGGCTGAAAAACTCCAGCTGTGGACTTGCCTCCACCTCGCAGACACAGGCAGACTACAGGGCGCTTGATTATTTATTTTAAATCAAAATATCAGTTACTCGTCCTACACTTGTGTCTAAACATTGATCACATTATAAACAGGTAGTTTGAGATTGCCCAGAAGCTGTGTTGGAATAGAAATAGGGCACTACCAAACACAGATTGTAGCACAAGGCTGTAGTTGTGAGCACAAGTATTGAGCCATGACTGAGCGAGGAAGGAGATGGATGGTGGTATGGAGATACTACAAATACAAGGTCATTGAGTTTGTCTTTGATACTTCCTTTGCTTGTGGCATCTAAGAAAGAGGTTGGAAAAAAATCTGGAAGGTTTTTCACATGAGGGTTCTAGGAATTATCTAAGGTTGTGAAAACCTGCTTTATTCCGAGAGGCTTAAGCCCTAATCTACTCAGTTTATCCACATGCATGCAAAAAGCTCACTCAGTCACAGTCTGCAGCTTCCTACTTGGGTTAGAGATTGCTCACATTTATGGCTCTTTAATCTTCGTGCAGTGGGAACTGATCCTGGATACACCCAGACTAGCAATATGGCATACTTCAGCAACGCAGGAAAATAAGCTTTCAGCAGCTGACCTGCAGATGTGATGAAGTCTCTGTCGCCTGGGATCTTTAAATCAAGACTTAACATCTTCTAGAGGGTATGCTACAGCACAGAGAGGACTTGCAGGCATGCCTGCAGTATAGATATTGCTGGAAGAGGTTCTGCAATCTCGTTAACAAATGCTGTATAGATAAATTAGCACAGTCATTGCTTCAAGCCTTAAAAATCTATTAATACTCTCAATACCTGGTTTTTGAAATAATCATGCCATCCTCTTGCAAACCACATGCCTGAAACTGTGGTCAGACTATGGGTTAATTACGCCTGCGAACAGGTCTGGATTGTACAGCTGAGAAATCCGAGGCAACAAAACCTTAATTGGCTTTTCCAAGGGCATCCAGCTAATCACTGGGAACGCCAGGCACTGAGCCCAGGGGAGAGGTGCTTCCTCCACTCCCTGCATTTCCCTCTTCCAACCACTGATAACAGCAGCAGTATGGGCTGAGATCGACTGCAGAGCGTGGACTTGACTCAGCATCATCTGGTTCTGTGCTGAGGGAGGCATCTCCCAGCCACGGTCTCCCTGTTGATGTGTCCAGCTCCTGACACAAGTATGTCATCACCCCATCCCTGAACTCGTGTGCTGATGGGCAGCCTTTTGTTTGGACTCCCTTAAAAGTCACATCCTGGATCCTTTAGCTTCAATTCTAGCAGTTGAACGGACCTGCCATCTCATCCTGCCTCTTCTGACCATCTGATTCCTTGTGTTAAAGATTGGTCGATTCATTTCCCAGATCCACTCAGTCATCAAAGATTAAGCAGCCCTTGGTTTATCTATTAAAGGCAGGCAATTAGTTCCCTCATGCTGACTCTCAGTGAGAGTTGGGGACACGATGACTTTGTCCATGAAACTCCTACAAGAGTAGGAGCACGATGGCTTCCTACAGATCCACGGCGGTCACCCACCGTGGAGAAAAACTGATTTCTTTCCAGCATGCAAACAGCTGATTGAACATCCCCAAGGGCCTTCCAAACCAATCTGAAAAAAAGAATCTGGGGGAAAAAGCTGCAAGGTTGGCAAACATTGCCGCAGCCACGGCTGGTGCCCGGGAAAGGACAGTGCTGGGAGCTCAGCTAATGCACGTCGCCTCTGCCTCGCAAAGCCAGCAGAGGAGAAAATGTCAGAGAATTGGCCTGTCAAAATGACGAAGCTGAAAAAGCAAGAGCAGTGCAGAAATTCAAGCTGTCGACAAAATGCTTGAAGCAGCCTGCTGGGACCAGAGCCCATGGATGTGCTGAGATGCAGGGGGGAGAAACCACTGGCCCCATTCCACAGCACTGCTCCTGGGCTGGTCACGACCATCCCTTCCATACACCTAGGGGCTCTGGGGGGTTATTTTCTTTTGATTTTTTTTTTCCATTTGGTTTTGGAGTGTTTTTGTATGTGTGTTTAGCCTATCTGTTTTTCCCAGTCTGATTGTTAAATTCTGGCTTTAAACTCTAGTTAGCTCATGCAATTGATTCATCTGCAGACCATTCCTCAGCTCATTGCCACGCACCCACCTGAAGCACCCACTCTTTGTCCTTGGTAGTTTACTCTTCTTTTTTCAAACAGACTCGCCATTAGCACCTGCTCAGTCATCACTTAACCAACATAGGTAGCTCTACCACATCTGTCACCATAAATCACAGCCTCCAGACTGGGATATTTTTCACTCCCCTTCTATGAGCTCTTCCCTGTTTACCAATATCTTCCTGGGACTGGGTTTTAACCATATCCTAAGGCCCACTGCAGTAGCCTCTGGGGAGGCTTTGAAATTATATTCCCAATGGCTTGAAAAAACAAAACTTGAGGCTGTGGTGGCCCCTATGTGGATGGAATCCCTCAGGACTGAGAAGCTTTGAGACAAAATCCTTGAGGAGGTCCCCTTTGAAAAAGAGAAGCTCAGTGCTGCTTCTCTGACCCAGGAGATCTGGTTCTTTGGGATCCCTGAACAAAGCATCTAGGTCCTCAAAAATGTTAGGTGAAAGGACCTCATTACTTTTGAGGACTTCAGCCTCTATGCCTCAGCCACCCAGCTCAGAGCTGAAATTAAGCATGCGTTAATTTGCAAACAGTTTCCCAAGAGGTTAACATAAGCAATAAGCTCATGTAAGTCTCCAGCTCTTTGCAACAGGGCCAGGTCCTGATGACATCATGGGGACATCACGGGCACAGCGGCCACTTACAAAGAACTGGGCTGCATTCAGTGGTAGCAATGAGATGTTCCAACCTGGACAGTGGTCTATGAAGCTGTAAAATGGAGCAAGCAACAATCCCTTCCCCACGGATTTATCCTAAGAATAAGACTGAGGCAATGGATGCTAAAGCAATCAGGGCTTCTTCAGACATGTGAGGTAGTTAGATTGACTGTGCCTCCACGAAAGCAGCAGAAATGCTTTGTGCAAGCCTGGTGATAAATTGAATGAGAAGGCTCATGCAGCCCATCTATTAACAGCCGGCCTCTGCAAAGGCTCCAGCAAACAAACACTGCAAATGAAGTCGCAAGATGATCTCTTTTCACAGAAAAAGGACTTCTCTCTTTCCCCTTTTTCCCTCTCTTTCATACTGACTTCCATCAAAAGGCAAACGTACCGACAGCTTTCCTAAAGGGGTGTCTTTCAGAAACACTACAGCTCTCACCTGTTGGTTCAGCTCATTGGAAACGGGATTCAATCTTGGAGGTGAAAAACAATAACAAAAAAAATTAATCCTGAAAGTGCTCGGAATATGCAGCAGGGTGGATGAGGAGCATCAGATGCCAGAACAGACATCTGATGTCGGCTCTCCCCGCCGTCCTCTTTCCAAGCCGACAGATTCCCTCAGAACGGCAGAAATTCACGGCTATTTTTGCCTCCCTGATTAGTTTGTTTCAGTAAATCCCACTCCACGGATAGGCCCAGCTCGCTTTAATTAGCTCTGGCACATTGACAACAAGAGGGAAGACAACACCACAGTACCGTGCCGTCCGGACACACATCACCAAGCAGTGACAAAAATAACCCTTTTTGCTACATAACAGCCAACTGCTTTCCCGACTGTTTGCTTTCATCCCTGTAAGCCTTTCACCTAGCTGGTGAAATTAGTCGGACCAATCCAACACTTTACTGAACAAAATCTATTTTTCATCTCTTGCTAGTAAATAGTCCCAAAACCCAACAGAATCAGTGGCTGTTTGGAGTTATTTTTCCACTGTCTCTCCCTGCTTCCCGCACCCAGTAGTATATTTTATCTCCTGCATGTTCAGGGCAATCTGGTCATTGCTAGGCAACATGCCATAATAAATATTTAATCGGCAGAGGAGCTTTCAGAGCTGCAGCCAAAAATTTTGATCTCCCCGCATAGAAAATGGATGGGCAAACGGCCCTTCTTCTGCAGCAAGAGGAGCCAGCCTGCATGGTGCACCTTTTGAATGGCAGCATTGTCCCTTGGCATCAGATTTTTGGCCATTGGAAGACAACTGCATGCACGTGCATGCGTAACATGGAGAAGTGGGGCGGGTAGACAGAGAATGGCTGCTACAACAAAACCCAAACTCACTGGCATGCTTGTCCTTGCTTCCAGAGCTCTCTATCCCAAAATAGTCACACCCCTCACTGCTTTCATTCTCCTTCTGCTGTCTCAGTTCCCTGGGAGAAGGAGCCCACCTGGAAGGCGTCATCTGAGAAAAGCTCACAGCTGAAGGTCTCGAGTTCACCAAACAGCACTGGATGGGAAGTTGCCTCATTTTGTAAGACCTTAACAGCACAGGGAGTTCTTCTCGTGCAGCTGTCCATCATGCTGTCATTTTTTCACAGCTGCCTTATCTAAAATGAGCCTGGCCTGCCTGTCTTTCTGTGACTCCATAGCTGATTACTGCTGCTTTAAGCTCTGCTGTATCAGTGTTAGGAGCTTGGAAGCAAAGTGGGACCCTTCTACCTGGTGGGCTGCTCCTGTTTCTCAACTGTGCATGAGAAACATGGGTCCAGAGTCCTTGGTGATCCCCGAAAGTCTGTGTTGGCTCAGAAGCTATTTGGGGCTACCACAGTGAGTACAAGAAAGTAGGCACCCAGTGACTGCTTTAAGGCTGCATGTGCCAAAGAGGATGCACTAGGAAGGTGCCTTTAGATGGCAAAGAACAGCTGCGAGGTGACAATTACAGCATCTTGGAATATACATTCATAAGATTTAGCTGCTTCCAGTTGCTGCTGATTTGTGCAAGCATCAGAGACCCAGCTTGGGTCCCACTGGGGTCCAGACTCAGGCAGTTCTCCTTTTACACAGAGATATGTGTAAGGGCAAAGATCTGCATAAAGCAATGTCCTAACTTCTGATCTATTGCCTGAAAAAGCAATCCTTCTTCATTTACACTGGCCTTGGCAGCTTATCCACTGCTCCTTCTACTCACAATTAGGAAACAGGATTTGTGGTCATGGCTCACTGAAAGGTCTCTGCTCTCCTCCAGAGGAAGATGTGCACCTTCCTCCCTGCTTCCAGATATCTGTCACAGTCAACCAGGACCTTTCCTTGGTTGTCCTACAGTCCTCGTCTGGCTTTTCTGCAGAGCTAAGCTCTGCCTTCAAGGCACTGACTCCTCTAAGATTCACTCAGTGCAGAGAAGAGCAATAGGCATTTGTCAGATGAATGGAGCGCTCTTCTGTCTAGACTCCTTGTCAAGCCAAGCACAACCTTAAAACAAATGACTGCAACAGGCTAACACTGACTCTGGGATGTTAACAGGAGTACAGACAAGGCTAGGGAGGGATTTTGAGTTTATCTATTTGTTTTCTTCTTGGCACGTAATGTGTGCTTTCAGCTGTTTGTGCACATCTGATGGTGCAGGATTTTGCCCACCAGAACAGCAAGCTCAGCATTGCCTCCCACGGGGGTGGGAAATCCATTACTCAGGCAGCAGTGTTGTGCCTCTGATTGGGATGCTTTCACCACATCTGCCTGTGATCATCAATCAAGGTCTTTATTTCTTTGCAGGCTGAGAACTAAGCAAGGTTGGAAGAACTCTTCTGGAGCTCCTGTTAGCAGAAAGGAACTAGTAAGTAGTAGGATTTGTGTATATTTGTAAGTATGTGGGAAGAGTGATGTTTTCTGATCAAAACCTCAGTGCTTTGTGGCTCTCTGGTTTGTTTGTTTTATTTTGAAGGCTTTAAGGGATTTTTTTTTTTTTTTTTTTGCTAGAGAAATGGGCCCAATGATCAGGCATATGGAAGGGGTCTGATGCATAGCCCCACTTCTGTTAGGTGGGAGAAATGGAAGGCAGGGAATTCCTATTTCCCTAGTCTTTCTGCTAAGCTGTTGAGGACAGTGCTGATGCAGTGGTCCCTGCTGGATGCTCCTAGCTGAATGGCACCACTTGGTCTCAGCTTTGTGGAGATGAGCTGGCTTGTTAGCAAGAGCACTTCACCCTTACCTTAGGAAGCTGAGTTCTCAAAATGTCAGTGCCCCAGCGAGTGGGAAGGAGAGACCCAAGGCTGCCCCAAGACATGACTCACCTATGCTGCAGACAAAGCGTCTCTACGTGTGGGCTTCAGATGCACCCAGCTCTGAGCTGCTCATGTAGCTTTGCAGAGCCCTGAGTTGCAGCACGTGGCCATAGCTGTAGTGACAGCAGTAAAACACTGGTGACCTGGGCAGCTGGGAGGCTGAGTGGCTCCTTTTGGTCTGCTGGTATGTTCTGAGGGAACCAAGAGTGCAAGTGCTCAGCGTTATCTTGACAGTTTGCAGTAGGTAGCATTGCTCACGTGGGGATTGCCCACCCATATCTCATATAGAGGTGTTTCCCTTGGTGTATCCTTTCCATCTTCAGGTAGTAGTAGCGTATGCACTTTGGGGCCAACATTTACATCTTTTTTATCAGTCTTTGAAGATTTTTTTTTTATTATTATTTTGGCTAAATATATGTTAAAGTGTTTATCTTTGTTTGCTTAATTCTTTAACTTAGTTTTCATTCAATGATTCCCCCATTCTTCTGCTGTGAGAATGGCAATTAAATTGTTTCTATTCTCCTTCCTCTGACCCACCTGGCTACCATTCCATTTCTCTTCTGATTTCATGTGCAGATATACCAGCATATGAGTGTCACACAAGTAGGTTGAGTTAGCCACACTCAGTTTACTTTGCCTGGGTCCCAGTAGTAATGCCAGTGGAGTGATGTGCATGTTGCCATGGGTTGGCAGACCATGAATTTGTATAGCTCACACAACTGTCTATTCCATCAGACCTCTGCTATCATTATTATCCACACTGGGTACATCAAACCTAGCACAGATACGTCTCCCAAGATTGCATTCTCTCTCCATTAGATAGAACAGGACACCAGTTCAAAAAGTCACCGTTTCGAGCGATGGCAGCTGAGAATGTCTATTAGTGTGACATAAAGGTATGTTGAAGGCCCAACTGATATTTGAAGATGCAACCTGGGTATTGACTGCTAACAGCATCTCAAGATGAGAATTGTACACTTTGAAAACCCCTAATTTTCAGAAGTCCCTGATGACTCTGCACTAACCTTTAGCTGACTCTAGGAATGAATCCACTCTGGAAGTACACTGGAAGCACACAGCCTATTATTGCCACAACTTCTTTCCTCTGTACAATACCAAGAAGAATTAAAGACATTGGTAGTTTTTTACCCCAAGCAATAATATATAAAATACAGCACAGGGTCAAATCCCTGCTTGTCTGTGCTCATTTTGTGTCATCAGAAACTCAGCTGAAGTCAACACTTAACTTCTCAGTGCAGAGTCAGCCTCAAAATTATCCACAGCAATCTGTGTCTTGTCACCCCCCAGAGCTAAATGCCTCTAGATAACGAGGGCAACTCAGG